TTAGGAACCCTCTGGGCAGAGTCGCCTAGGGGCCCTGAATGCTTTTGTTTGGCCTTAATGCAAACAGAAGGGACACAGGATCCTCTGCTGGGTGATGCTCAGCAGCCGGATTATGACTCAGCAGCATTCCAAACACAGGGAAAGATTCAGCATCTCCCGAGGCATGCTGTGGCTCTTCCCTCTCAACACAATGTTCCTGTTGATAAGCTGAGATCCCATAAGGGCCAGGCTGCTCTAATAAACAATCAGCTACCTTGCAGAGCACCTCCCAACTTTCCCGTATATCACCCTTTACGTTTTTGCCAGGACCCAGTCCCGTGCGTTTCTGTGGCACATGACTTCCCGTATGTCATAGGTGACTGCCGTCCTGGACTTCCTTTCCACATGGTTTCTCTGCTCTGCCCTAATCTGGCCTCATCTCGGGCCAGACCAGCACCATTTCCTGGCCCTGGCTCCTGGCTGCCTCCAGGCTGCTGAGCTCACCATGCTGGGGGGATGGCGGGCCCTGAGGCCACCAGGGGCCCAGCTGACGCTTACCAACAGCCGTCCACCCCACCTCCCACTGCATCCTTCCCAGAGCGGCTAGAGCGTCCAGTGCAGGGGCCTAGCCTCCTAGGTCCACACAGGCACCGCCTGCAACAGCCCCCAAGGTGGTCAGACTGCCTCACGGGGTGGGCTCTGCCAGGCCAAGGGGCAGCTCCCTGATGCTCTGCTGAGGGCCACTTTCTTTTTTTTTTTGAAACAAAGTCTCGCCCTGTTGGCCAGGAGTGCAATGGTGTGATCTCAGCTCACTGCAACCTCCACCACCTGGGTTCAAATGATTCTCCTGCCTCAGCCTCCCGAGTAGCTGGGATTACAGGCATGCGCCACCACCCGCAGCTAATTTTTGTATTTTTAGTAGAGACGGGGTTTCACTATGTTGGCCAGGCTCGTCTCGAACTCCTGACCTCAGGTGATCCACCCGCCTCGGCTTCCCAAAGTGCTGGAATTATAGGCGTGAGCCACCGCGCCTAGCCACGAGGGCTATTTTCTCCAGTGCCAGTGGGAGGGGCCAGCCAGCGGGAGCCCCAGTCTGAGGAGGCTCATTCCCACCACTCACAGCCATGTCCTAGGGAGAGGGGGGCAGGCTTAAGGTATATTAGTTAGGACTCTCCAGGGAAGCAGAGAAGCTGATTTTAGGGAATTGACTCATGTGATTGGACAGGTTTGGCAAGTGCAAAATCTGATGGGGTAGGCCAGCAAGCTGGAGAGTCAGGGGAGAGTTGCAGTTCAGGTCCAAAGGCCACCAGCTGGCAGAACCCCTTCTTGCTCAGGGAATGCCAGTCTTTTTCTGTTATGGCCTTCAGCTGACTGGATGGGGCACTCATGTTATGGAGGGTGATCTGCCTCACTCAGAGCCCACTGATGTAAACGTTCATCTTGTCCAAAACAGAACTTCACAGAAACACCTAGAATAATATTTGACTGAATATCTGGGCACCATGGCCCAGCCAAATTGGGCCACCATGCCTGGCCCATAAAAATAACCATTATGGGCCAGGCATGGTGGCTCATGCCTGTAATCCTGGCACTGTGGGAGGCCAAGGTGGAAGGATCTCTTGAGGCCAGGAGTGTGAGGCCAGCCTGGGCAACATTAGCGAAACCCTACCTCTAAAAAGATAATAAAATTTTAAAAATTGGGCCAGCCGTGGTGGCTCGTGCCTGTAATCCCAGCACTTTTTGGGAGGCCGAGGTGGGTGGATCACGAGGTCAGGAGATCAAGACCATCCTGGCCAGCATGGTGAAAACCCTGGCCAGGGTTTTCTACTAAAAATACAAAAATTAGCCGGGTGTGGTGGCAGGTGCCTGTAGTCCCAGCTACTCGGGAGGCTGAGGCAGGAGAATCGCTTGAACCAGGGAGGTGGAGGTTGCAGTGAGCCAAGATCACGCCACTGCACTCCAGCCTGGGCTACAGAACGAGACTACGTCTCAAAACAAAACAAAGCAAAACAAATTTTAAAAAATTATTTGTAATGACCATCACATAAGGACTTTGATACCCAGTGCCAAATTGCTCTCCAAAAAGACGGTGTCCTCTTCCGGTTATCCTTGGGGTGGGAGGTCACGTAGTCCTGGGCCCTGCTGCCCAGGCTTTCTCTCCCTGGGCTTCTTGTTGACTCACCTCAGCTGACCCTGACCCTGCAACTTGACCTTGCTGCCCATTGGCTTTAAGGCGCCATATGGAAGCCAGTTATCCCTCCTGGACTTGCACAGCCAGCTCCTCCAACCCTGGGGGGCCCTGGCTGCCTTTGAGGGCTGCCTCCCAGGCTAGCTGGTGCTGGCTGCCCTGCCTCCCAAGGCCATGTGATGGTCCAGGGGCTAACCCAGCACTAACCTCTGCCTTTACCACTGCCAGGAATAGTACCGCTATTCATGTGAGTCATTTTTACTAGGTTTTCTGTTGTTCCTTCTTAAAATATGGCAGGGCTACACTTAAAAATGCTAAAGATGGTAAATATTGTGGATATTTTACTACAATTTAAAATAAGTGAACTGGCCGGGCGCGGTGGCTCATACCTGTAATCCCAGCACTTTGGGAAGCAGAGGTGGGTGGATCACCTGAGGTCAGGAGTTTGAGACCAGCCTGGCCAACACTGTGAAACCCCGTCTCTTCTAAAAATACAAAAATTAGCCGGGCGTGCTAGTGCATGCCTGTAATCCCAGCTACTCGGGAGGCTGAGTCACGAGAACTTGAACCCAGGAGGCGGAGGTTACAGTGAGCCGAGATCGCACCATTGCACTCCAGCCTGGGCAACAAAAGCAAAACTCCATTTCAAAAAAAAAAAGATAAATTAAAATAAGTTAACTATTATAATAATGACACAAAATGTCAAAATATGAATAGTAAAACATAAAAATTTGAATCAAATAATATTAAAACACCACATTTGATGGTTACACACATTATACCTGCATCAAAATATCACACTGTACCCCATAAATATGTACAATTATGTATCAGTTTAAAAAAGAAAGAAGCCACCTCACTAGACCATGTACAAAGCTCCTTTGTATGTGTAAACACATCAGCAAAGCTTTCATGTAATGATTTGACAACCCAGTTCCCTGGTCAGATAGCCCCGTGTATCTGTGAACTCATCCCATCAGGAGATGCATCCTGATCTCTGATCCCCAGCCCCTAGCAGAATTCTCAGCACCATGAGCTCTATCAATGAACGAAAGAAAAGCAGAGCATCCATTCATTAAATCCGAGTATACACATCAGAAGAAATAATACCCAACTCTTGTAAATGCTAACGACAGTCTGCGTGGATGTGTGGAGAGGGTGGGGTGAGACTCATAAAAACAGAGTGGTAACAGGAGCCTGTTACTGTACCTACAAGTAAGCAACAATGTCACATAGGCAAAAGGTAGAATGTGGAAAATATTCAGGGGAGTAGTGTTATGAGTGATACAAAAATTTTAATTTTTGAGACAGGGTCACACTTTGTTGCCCAGGTTGGAGGGCCGTGGTGTGAACAAGGCTCACTGCAGCCTTGACCTCCCAGGCACAAGTGATCTTCCTGCCTCAGCCTCCCAAGTAGCTGGTACTACAGGCACGTGCCACCATGCCCAGCTAATTTTTGTATTTTTTTGTAGAGATGGGATTTGGCCATGTTGCCCAGTCTAATCTCGAACCCCTGAGCTCAAGTGATCTACCTGTCTCGGCCTCCCAAAGTGCCGGGATTACAGGCATGAGCCACCACACCCAGCTATGTTACAATTAAAAAATAATAATAATAGGGCTAAATCCCTACTATACTTTTGAACCTAGTTTGAAGACTTCTTACCTAAAAAGTATGAGCAGTTTGTATACCACTGTTTTCCAATTTGGATTTGGAGACTTTTCAGATGTAAGTATTATTTTTTAAATTATTTTATATACGTGTATGTGTGTGTGTGTGTGTGTGTGTGTGTGTGTGTATATATTTTTTTTTTTTTTTTGAGGCAAAGTCTCACTCTATCGCCCAGACTGTAGTGCAGTGGCACAATCTTGGCTCACTGCAACCTCCACCTCCCGGGTTCAAGTGATTCTCCTGCCTCAGCCTCCTGAGTAGCTGGGATTACAGGTGCGCACCACCATGCTTGGCTAATTTTTTGTATTTTTAGTAGAGACGGGTTTCACCATGCTGGCCAGGCTGGTCTCGATCTCCCGACCTCATGATCTGCCCGCCTTGGCCTCCCAAAGTGCTGGGATTACAGGCGTGAGCCACCGCACCTGACCTATTTTTCTCATTATTAAAGTGGTATATTGTCAATGTAAAAAAAGGCATATAGAAACAAATCAAACCAAAGAATCCCACAGTCTCCTCCCAAGTCCTACTCCCCAGAACCATACCTCCATCTAAGGGGTCCTAACAACTGGGCCCAGGATATGACCTCACTGAATTTTCACAGCTGTTCCTTAGACATTTTACAGGCAGGGAAACTGAGGCTCCCAAGGTATCATGGAACATCCGTGCAGTCACCTTATGGAGAGCAGTGGGGCCGGACCCAAAGCTCCATGGCGCAGGGATTCTTTCCCAATGGTGCCTCCATTTCCCCACCCTATGCCCATTGTCTCCTTCTGCCTGTGGTTTCTTTTTTATGTATTTGTTTGTTTATTTATTTATTTATTTTGAGACGGAGTTTCGCTCTGTCACCCAGGCTGGAGTGCAGTGGTGTGATCTTGGCTCACTGCAACCTCTGCCTCCCAGGTTCAAGCAATTCTCCTGTCTCAGCCTCCTGACTAGCTGGGACTACAGGCTCTTGCCACCACGCCCAGCTAATTTTTGTATTTTTAGTAGTGATGGGGTTTCACCATGTTGGCCACGCTGGTCTCGAACTCCTGACCTCAGGTGATTCATCTGCCTTGGCCTCCCAGAGTGCTGGGATTACAGGCGGGAGCCACCACATCCGGCCCCTCCTGTAGTTTCTAACACTGTGGTAGCTGGGACTCCAGGTTGCACGTTTTGTTCTAGGGAATGTGCATCAGCCTTCACCTGCAAGCCCCGGGCCCCCGGCACTCCAGAGATGATGGACTGGAACCTACCCAAGGCAAAGGCGTCAGTTCTGGCCCCTCCGTTCTCTTCGTGTGGTCCCCAGCAGGCCAGCCGCCCCGGCTCCACAGCGTCCTCCACAAGGGGCCTGCCGAGTAAGTCAGCCTGGGCCCCGCTGGCATGGGAGGATGGCTACCTGCCCACCCGGAGGGAGGGGCATTTTGCTGCTGTATTTGGCCCCGTGTTCCTGTGTGTGCCAGGCCAGGCCAGAAGGGGAGAAGGCCTGCTTCCCTTCCAAACACAAACAGGCCCCAGCGGGCGGCTTCCTTTCCTCCAGGGACAGGTTCTGCATGAATCTTCCTTCCTATTAAATTCCCTTTGGCCTCAGTGACTCAAACTCAAGCTGAGGAGGGAGACCTCCAGGCAGGTCACTGAGAGAGAAGCCCCTTCCCCCCTACCCTCTGTGGAGCTTATAGATTTGGCCCTGAGCTGGCCCTACTGCCCTGGGGTTAGCCCTGAAACTCAGACCTGCCCTGGTGGAAGGTGGTCCAGCCCCTGGTCCAGCCGCTGTGTCCCTGCCTGGCCCAGCCTCTCAGGCCACCCCCAGGTCAAACAGAAGCAGGTGTCTGCTCGCAGGCTGGATGGAGGGGCTGTCAGAGGGCCTGCAAATGGGATGGGCCCAAGGGCCCCCACTCTCTCCCTGGGGCCTCCCTCTCACCCTCTCACCTGAGGCTCACTGTAAGGACAACTTTGTCTTTCTCTGTCGCCTTCCAGCCTCTGCCAGTTGATAGCCCCTCCACCTCCACGCCCCAGCTGAGCTGAACCTTTCTAGAGGGCTTTACCAAAACTCAGGGGAAACAAAAGGACAGAACAAAAGAAGGTCAGGCAGGATGAAAGGGGTCCCGCTCAGGATATGCGCATTTCTGTGGCCGCCCCCAGCCCGCCCCACCCCACTACCTTCCTGGCCGGGCCCTGGGCGCTCTGGTCAGCTGGGGACATGCTGGGTTGGAAGTGGGGGTAATGGCCATGGCTGGGGAGCCAGGTTGGGACCCCTCCCGCCTCCCACTGGGAAACACGCCCCAAACCCCAGCCGAGCCAGCCGTAGCCCAGGTTAGGTGCAGAGGAAATGCGGCAAATCCAGGGGCGGCTCAGCCAGGAGGAAGGTGCTACTGGGGCAGGGATCCCCAGTTCATAGCGACAGTGACACCAGCAGCTGGCGGCTGGCCTGGCCCCACATCTAGCAGCATAGCATGGTCGCTGTGTGGACGGCTCAGCTAGCCATGGGCGTTGTGTGTCCTGTGGGCTCAACAAACCTGTAAGCTGTTGCCAGCAAAACTGGCTGAGCGACCCGCACCAAAGGGCCTGCTTCCTGTGAGGAAAAACTGGCCTGCCAGTCGAGCCCCGGCCACAGAACAGGCGACCTGGGGGAGGGAATGTTCCCTCACTTCTAAGCCGGCTGAAAGAGGGACTGAGTGGGACAGAGGGGATTCTGTGCGGAGACCGCACAACGCTGGCGTCTTGCTCTGGCTTTTCTCTCCAGGCAGCCAGTCTCACAGGAAGTAAGGATGTCCCCGGGTGTCCCCATCACGTTGCCGGAGGACCAGCCAGCTTCCCGCTCTCAGCTGGCAGCAGCTGCCAGTGATGGATGTAAAGGGACAGTTGTCCACAAGACTCGGGGAGCTGAGGGGAGGCCGGCTCTCCAGGCAGCAGCAGACCAAGGCCATCGCAGCCCCACCGGCCGGGTCACTTTCTCCCGGGGCAGAGCCACCAAGGAGGGCTGGGGAGAGCCTGGAACTGCGTCCTGGAGAGGGGGATTTCCTGCTCACCCTTCACACACACAGGAGGGGGTGGCTTTTGCCCGCGGGAGATCTTCTGGCCCCAGAAACAGCAGGTGCTGGATTTGCAGCCCTGGCCCTCAAGGGCCCAACGGGGCGACAGTGTGGGGCCAGCCTGGAGCAGGGCCTTTCCAAGGCGGCTGAATCCAGCTCTCCTCACTCAGACCGACTACCGGGACCCAGAAGGAACTTAGGTGAAGCTCATTTTATTCTCAAGCCTGTGTCTCAGCAGCAAAGTTGGTGTTTTCCTCCTCTGTTAAAATCTGAGAAAGAAGGCCAGGCGCAGTGGCTCACGCCTATAATTCCATCACTTTGGGAGGCCAAGGCGGGCAGATCATGTGGTCAACAGATCGAGACCATCCTGGCTAACATGGTGAAACCCCGTCTCTACTAAAAAAATACAAAAAAATGAGCAGGGCGTTGTGGCAGGCGCCTATAGTCCCAGCTACTCAGAAGGCTGAGGCAGGAGAATGGCATGAACCCGGGAGGCGGAGCTTGCAATGAGCCTAGATCATGTCACTGCACTCCAGCCTGGGCGACAGAGCAAGACTCCGTCCCAAAAAAAAAAAAAAAAAAAAAAAATCTGAGAAAGAATATGGCGTGCTCCTCCCTCTTCAAAGCTCTGTACTTCTGCACACGTTTTTTGAAGGCCTTAAAAAGGTCACCAGTGTGACCAGGGAGCACCTTCTGCCTCCCTCCCTGCACCGGGACCATAGACACAAACAGCTCTACCCGCAAAGTGGCCCGTTCCACGGGGCAGGCCTGTGCGCCCCTCACCAGGGCTGTCGTCAGAGTCCAGACTTAGGGCAGAGGAAGGATGTTTGCCTTCAGGACCAGCAAGTCACAGGTGTCCTGGATGTTACCCAAGCTCTAAAAGCAAATAAAACCCAGCAGTATTTAATGCTCTGTGTGTGTGTGTGTGTGTGTGTGTGTGTGTGTGTGAAGGGAAACGGAAAGCAGATAAAAGTCATGTGCCCTCCCCCAGGCACCTGATCTGCCCACCAG